GGTCCTTTCCATTTGCTTGGTGTTTAGTCTCCTAGCCCTGCCAATATTCAGTCCATCCTATGTCACTCAAAGCCTGTATCTCTCATCCAGAGGGACCCATTTCTGAGATAGACAAGAGTGAATCCAGCCATAGCTTCATGAGATGCTGTCCCCAGAACAGCAGAGCACTGAGCTCTTCTGCCCGTGCTGGTAGGAGGTGACGGGCAGGTTGCCCAAGACAAAGTAGTCATGAAGAGAACAGCATTGTTCTGCTGGGATCAAGACCTGGATATTAATCAGAGGGGCCATTCCAGGGCCCAGGTGGACTCTGGGGATGTCAGAAAGAGGAAATGATCGACTACTTTTCTGTCTGTTAAATAGGGGACTGAATTTCAGGGATAATGTGTCCTCTGCCTGGACAACTGGACAGCTTTATTCTAGACAATTTTGTGCTAAAGGCATGACTCCAGCCCTTCTATGGTTTGCAAAGGTACATGGCCACAACCCCATCACTGATTTCCGTGGTGCTAACGGCACCTCATAGGTCCACCCAGCAAATACACAATTGTAGTATGACAAAGCAGACACCATTGATGTCTTTCACAGTGGAGAAGAGGAGGCTCGAGTGCAATAAATAGAAAGAGAAGACTTTGTTAAGGTGGCTAAACATACATAGACACTCCTTATTATGTTTAGGTCCTATGCTAGTGCCACCTACTGCCACTGGGAACACATCTCTGAAATGAAGGAAGAACAGAAGCGAGCACACTGAGCCTTACACTTTGCCTGTTCTGCTGCTCGTGGCTTGAGTGTGGCACAACCAACACACAGGTGAGCAAGGTCGGAGCTACACTCAGGTATCAAACTTGCAGGGAGCCTGCCTCAGTGATTTCGTAGCATGGGCTTCAGGCATTACAATGTGATTGGTGGTGTACCAGTGAGCGGAGAAATACTTAGTGACCCAACGCTGATGGAAAGATCTACTGGCCTTGGTAATGGTGATATTTCTTCCCTGCATCTGGAAAACTGTTCTCATGGACTTTTTTGGGGGGAGAAAATAAATAGTGGCTATGAGCAAAGTATATGGTGTACAGTCAAGATACCATTTCATTAGCATGATGATTAGATTTGGTCTGAAATTCTGATGAAAGCAAATCTTGATAGCAACTGGAAATGAAATCCTTAAAGCAATTCTGTAATGCAAGTATTTGAGGAGACCAAGTAGCTCCAGGCAGCAGAGACATGGCTGTGATGAATTTAATAAGCAGTGGGAGCTTTGTTTATATCAGATATAGAAGGAACAGCCCAAAGCCACGTTGCTATAGCATATTGTGGTAGTACATATTTTATTTATTACTGAGTGCTATATCAGAAAGAATTTTCTTCAGATCTCCCTTTGCTCCTCATTTTTAGTTTTTCTCTCATCTGTTCAACTCTCCTTGATGTTCGATACATTTTTCATCCTCTGCCTTCACCGGACTTCGCCTTTCTACCTCTTTTCCAAAAATTTCCTATGTGGGCATGGTCTCAAGAACTTGAGGTTCTCACTGAGGCTTTGATGCAAGGGTGTTTTAATGTCTTACTCAGCCTCTGTGAAATCCATCCCACAGCAAACTGTTAAGTTCAGTGGAATGCTGATAGTGCATGTGCCTTGAACTAAATTTCTGTGAGAGACCAAGTTCATCCATCCTGAAGCCCCATGGAAGTTTCAGAGACTGATTACATGTGTAAGAAGAAGGTAACAGTAAAGAAGACACATGGTGTTGGAGTGTTCAGATCAGTTTCAGAAGAACTCAACTAACATTCAACCATTTCTCCTCAAGATTCCCAGGAAGGAACATAAAACATTTTGGCTTTTAGGATTGGTGTCTTAATAGAGTCAATTATAACAGTCAGTTGAGTTTGACTGTAGCTCTATTAGGAATCTCACAGAAATTGTGACTGTTTGTCTTAGTTTCAGGCACTTCATTTAGGGAACTCAAGCAGCCTGGCAAGCACATTCCCCAGACACAGTGCTTTCAGCCCTGCCTGATGGTCTAAGCATATTTTATCCTGGGATGATGGAGGTCTTTTGAACCCTGGATTTGGAAAAGACATCTCAAACTAATGGCCGGTTTGTCAATATGTGGCAACAGATCACTGAGAACCGAGCACTCTGGAGAACTTTGTTTTCCATCTACCATGGCCAAAGACTGAGCTGTTCTAAATGTCTCCACAGTTCAGCACAAGAAAAGTCTTCATGATGAAGCCACCAAAAGCTGTATCCAAGTCACCTGAGAATCCATGAGAAACACTCCATAAAGTCTTTGCATGCCGGTAAAATTTTCTGTGGATGGAAATCTGCAGTAAAGGTTAATTCTAGGACGAATTGCTCTACTTATGTACCAGAGAGTTACTCTTCCTAGAAACTAGTGTTCATGTCAAGAAATCACTTCTCTAAATTGCAACTTGAAGTGACATTTGGCCCATTAATACACAGAGAGTTAAAGCTGACTATGATCACTCTTTTATTACATTCTCTGGCCTCTAATATATTTTAGTACTTTCAGTACTCTGACTATAACTGTTTTGTTTCAGGGGCCAGCAATATAACTGCTATTACATCTTGGCATCAACAAGAAAGGGGCAGAAGACAACAGCTGCATGAAAATGTGCTTTTTGCAATACAGAAGGAAAGCTGGCATGATATGAGTCTTCTATAAGATTAAGAGTAGGCTTGAATCCAGATTTAATTTTGTCTAGCTACATGACCGTTATGGTTTCTGTCCCTGTTGCTAGCAGCTAGTTTGACTGTATCTTGGACTGAAATAATTCACACGGAAGTTTGGAAGAGTCAAAGTTGGAGCATCTGTTGATGGACCGTGCAACTGCACTCCTCGTGCCGAGTCCTGTACAAGCTGGCTAAACAAAAAGACCTTTGACTTGCCTCAGCACTGACCTTGCCCATCTCTTTCCCTGCACATTTTCCCAAAACTCGGGTTGAGACAGTCTTTCAAAGGAGGCTTGTGTACTTGTTACACGAGCAATGGGTGAATTAGTTTGATTTTTAGTGGGTTGGACTTCTCCTCAAATAACATTGTTAATGAGTCTGATCATCTGGTGACCTTCATGCAGCCCCACTGGCTTTCCTCTAGAAGAGCCACACAGCTGCAAGAGCAGGCACCCTGTGCCACACACAGCTAGTTTCTATGCAAGGGCCCCACGGAGCCACTGGGGCAGGAGGGGCACAGGGCTTGATGGCCTTTCCTACTCCATCAGCATGATCAGGCTACAGCAGTCACTGCAGCTGTGTGGGGAGGAAGAAAAGCGGTTTGGCACTGAGCTGCAGCAGTAGAGGTCAGATCATTGCTGTAGGTACATCATTTGGGATTAATTTAGATAGGTGTAACAAGGCCAGCTCCAAAACTTGAAGCACTTGGGACTCACGACCTGAAACTTTCTCCACAGGGCAGGTGCCCCTGCTGTTGCCTAAAGAGAAGAAGAAAGAGAAAAATCTGAGATTTATTCTTCTTTTAAAAGAGATTATTTCAAATCCACCTCCAACGCACAGAGCCTTTTATACTAAAGGCTATAAATAGCAATAATAGCCCAAAGATGTAGGAGACCCGGGTCCAATTCTCTCTGCTTCCTGAAAAGATTAAAACTCACTGTCTCTTGCTCTTAAGAAAACAGCTTGGCCACCATAGAGATGTGGTGAATATGGACGGGCTCTGTCTCTTTTTAATTCCAAATTTAGGCATCAACTCTTCATCTACGTGGGTCTTTAGTTGCTTAAGTCTTGTTTTTGATACGTGTCCTGCATCCTTTTTGCTTAAAGAGCTATCATGGTCCATTGAAGAGCCCTTCTGTTTGCATCTTTTCAGCCAAGGCCTTACTCTACTCCAAGTTTACATCTCATTTCCTGCTTTGATGTGTCAACACAACTATTAGGAAATGAAGGTCATTTGTGTAGCACAGTCTTGTTTGCAACGGCAGTTGGGTATAATTGCAAAACATCTGGGAGACTATGGGGGAAATGACTGTGGTAGAAAATGAGCTTCAAAAGCTCTGAGCAGTTTATGGGAGAAAACCTTGTTTCCATTAGTAAAATACAGATTTGTTGTGACATTGTAAGTCTTAGATGCGATACACACAGTATTTCCTCAGAATATCCGGCAGCTGTATCACTGTTTAATATATCTATTAAATACTACATCTAGATGTAAGAGCAACCAATAAAACTTGTTTATTTACCTTTGAAACCTTTGACAGAGTAAAGCATATCACTCTCTAGATATATTTTCCCATTCAAATCTACTAGATATTTGAAATGGCAGCAATAAAAAAAAAAAAAAATAAAAAAAATAAATAAAAAGTATGGATTTTCTTGCCAGGTCTGCATTTACTGTGGACAAAACAAAGACTATCAAAATGCATTTATTTATTTATCTATTGCTGCTATCTTTTGAATGCACCAAAAGTAAAACTCAAAGCGTTGCCCTGATGTGCTTGTACAATTGCATAAAATATCCAAGAGGGACCAATAATCACTGTCTTCACAGAGGTCTTCTCTGTAATCAATTTTCAGAAAAAAACTCAGCGTTTTGTTTTTATTGGCATTTATAGTCATATTTATTGTCCCTCTGCTGGGACAACTAAGGGTTTTCTTGGCTGGCGTGCGTGTGTACATACACATACCTTCCAGCGTCTCTCAACTATCAATTCACAAAAATTGCTTTCAATTCTAAAACTATAACATTTCAAACAAGAGTGGGTGAAATAAAATAGAACATTAAAACAGCCTTGTGGGTTCGGACAAGTGCACAGCAACCAGGAAAGCCAAGAATAAGAATCTTTTTGCTTTCCTACTTGATGAAGGTTACAGTCTCCTGGTGACTTGTTTTCTTAACTTTAATATCTTTTGATATTTTCCCAGTCCTGTTACAGCCAGAGCTTTAGACACATGAAATAGCTTGTGTATTGGGAGGAGCAAAGGGCAGCTTGACCTTGTCTCTTGTCACTTTTCCGTTTGCTCAGCAGGAGACAACACACTGTGTTAAATCGCCAAAGTTTATAACAAGATGAATCAAGGTGGAGGCTGGGAAAAGAGAGAGATAAAAAGCAAGCATGTGCTTTTTGCGATTCTCCAAATAACTGAAGAAATGTGTGAACAAGGGAATATTTTGTCATTTTTTTTCACAGCAAACGTAAAGGAGATTGTGATCTTCCACAGGTAATGCTGTTAATACAGTGACTAGATGAACTAGGCTTACTTCTGATCTGAAGCACTGAGGAAGCAGGTTATATTGAGCACTGAAATTGTTTCTTATTTATTTTCCCTCCTCTTGTTTGTGTAATTTTACAAGGTGACTGCTGAAAGAAAGTTCACAGTGCAGGCTCCAGCAGAGCCACGGAAGGAGAGAGACAGGGCAACGGGAAGGGAAGGTGCTCCACGTGCAGACCTGTTGTAAGTAATAACCTCCCCAGTGTGCCTCTCCAAGTAATTAGACAGGCGTTAATTACCAATTCAGGGTTTGTACATGCTAAACGTGAACACATGCTCATGTATATAGTAATTTTGTAAAAAGGGGGTGAGAGGGAATTTAGGTGAGGTTCATAAGAGAGGAAAATATTGTTTCCATATTTTTTCCTGTGATGATCAGCATATAGTTCACAGTATATCTGTTTGAGTGCATATGCATTATACATCCTTATAGATCATATCATTGTATAATCAATACCTGGGAATCACTTAGCAAAGTGTTTTGATAGTTTCCATTTTGGAAATCAATTTTATAATTAGAATGGCGATGAAGACAAAGTCAGTTATTGTAAGGCTGAATAGAGACCAAGATAAACATGCTAAATTTATGTTACAAATACTTATGGATAATAAGTCCAGAACAATGACTATGATAAGACAATCTAACCTTCGGGACAAGATAATCAGAGATATTCCCTGAACAAACATTCATTATTCATCCAAAAATTTTTCAGTGATGAAGAATCTCCCATCAATCTGTGTAAGTTGTTTCAGTGGTTAGTTAGTGTCACTTCTGGAATAGTCCAGACTATTTTTAATGTCATTCTAATGTCATACTTCCATCTGATAGACTAATAGCCCCTAGACCAGAAGACTAACTTTTTTGTGACTAGCCAGCCTAGGAGCTCCCTGTGCTGTGCTAATGTCTGCATCACTTTGTAGTGGCTTGTGTATCATGAGCAGTTCACGTATGACTGTTTAGGAACTCCGACACTAAGGACCTTCTACCAAAATATTGTGTCCAAAAGATCCAGCTTTTGTGTCCATGAAAACTCTTCAGTGGACAAGTTGTATGACCTTGGAATGAGCTCAAAATTTAGACCTGTGCCTGGCAAATGGTGTCCAGCTTTCATTTGAGCCACTTCACGGTCTAGGTCTTGAAGGTCTTCTGTGTTTTAGAGGACTTAAAATCTACAACAAATTTCTGTTTAATTTTAATATTGTTTCTAACCAGGAATAGTAAGGGAACTATAAAAAGTCTATTTACTCAATTAAATATGGGATTTGGCTGTGAAAAAGTTACAAAACACTTGCAGTTTATTTTATTTTATTTTTCATGGTTATCATATATCAGATACTTGTAGAATTATAGAATCATAGAATGGTTTAGGTTGTAAGGAACCTTAAAGATCACCTAGTTCCAACCCCCTGCCCCGGGCAGGGACACCTTCCACCAGCCCAGGTTGCCCAAAGCCCCGTCCAACCTGGCCTTGAACCCTTCCAGGGAGGGGGCAGCCACAGCTTCTCTGGGCAACCTGGGCCAGGGCCTCAACACACTCACAGGGAAGAATTTCTTACTTAGATCTAATCTTAATCTCCCCTCTGCCAATTTAAAGCCATTATTCCTTGTCCTATCCCTACACCCCTGATGACGAGTCCCTCCCCCCTTTCCTGCAGCCCCTTTCAGCCCTGGGAGGCCGCTCTAAGGTCTCCCCGGAGCTTCTCTTCTCCAGCCAAACCCCCCAACTCTCTCAGCCTGTCCTCACAGGGGGGCTCCAGCCCCCCCAGCATCTTTGTGGCCTCCTCTGGCCCCGCTCCAGCAGGTCCGTGTCCTTCTGCTATTGGTGCCCCAGAGCTGGACCCAGCACTGCAGGGGGGTCTCCTGAGAGTGGAGCAGAGGGGGAGAATCCCCCCCTGGCCCTGCTGCCCACCCTGCTCTGGGTGCAGCCCAGGGTACTTTGATATTTGCTCTCCATGCAGCAAACTGGCAGACAAAACACAGTCAAGACTAACAGGACTGAACATGATTCAGGTGCAACTCAGCCAGGCATGCTCAGCTATATGGATTTAATTATGTCTAATACTTTGCATGCTGGGACAATAAAAGCCTTGTGCAGACAGTGGGGTTTTTTATCAACTTCGCAAATAGTGAATCAAATTGACATCTTCAACAAGTCACTTCCCTCTTTGTGATTCATACCTTGATACACCTTTCAGTAGGAATTTTCTGAAGAGGTTGTAATTTTACCATTTGCAGGAATAATAATTTGGATTACTGCAGGTGGTTATAACTTGGGACAAGATGCTGATACCCGCCCTTCCCAAATGAATGTATCTTGTTCCTCACAGAGAGCCTCATCTGCAGCTTCTGCCATGGGCTGACCCTCAGCAGACACGAATGAATTTAAATAGTAGCTCAAATGTAAGTCACTCAAGGCCCTGCTGGGATGCCATTCTGCTTGTTGATATGGCAGATGTCACCACTAGGCAGTGAAGCTTATCAGAGTGCCATCACCGAGCTCTGAGGCTCTCCATACTTCCAGCAGTTTGGATTTGGATTGGGAAATGGAGGCAAATTCCAGGGAGAGAAGATGCAGTTTTTCATGCCCATTTTCAACTTCGCAGGAAAGAATGGCTGAAATACAGAGGGCCTTGCTCAAATGTCTGTGGGTGAATATGGAAAGCGCTACTGGAAAACATCAGCCAGCACTGACCTGGACATATCAAAGCATGAATGGAAGGAGCCTTGCACTGCCCTTATGCTCTTCATTAAATTGCCTTTGCTTTGCTGAGTGTCCCTCGTGTATTTCCAAAGGGGGAGAGAGGGGGAGAGCTAGGAACAGTCACTATAAAACCAGATGTCTAAGTTACAGTCCTCATTGACTTTTGCTCCACTTACAGACAGTGGAGAGAGATATTTCAGGAAGCTATTCAGAGCTTCAAACAGTGTTATTCTGCAATGATGAACTCTCTGGGGAATGATCCACTGAGCTCCTGACTCAGATGGTGGGCGCTGGTTAGGTGATGTGGATTCCCAACCATCACAGACACCACATTGGTGCTTCAGTCTTGCAATATGTTAAAACTGAGGACAGTATTATGACAGGGCTTGCTCTCAGGAGTGTTGTTAGAGCACAGTCATTAGTGTCTCCAAATCACTCTGAGAGGAGCCATTAGAAAACTGTAAAGTGCTATTACTAAATACATTTTAAAAGAGGAAAACCAGATGCACTTGTAATCTAAAATTGCATATATCTTTGACAAAAGATCTAAATAATGAAAGGAAAGTATCCAAGAGAGAGAACCATACTGGCCAGTCTTTTGTAAAAAGTTGCAGAATGAGCTGGCTGCTAAACGCCTAGAAATATGAAGGTTGAGTACATGGATGACAAAAGCCATCACAGTTTCATGTTCTGCATCCCTAAATTATGTGGTGTTTCACAGGTAGTGAGCACCTTTTCATAAAGGAGGAAGCTATTCTTGACAATAAGCTTTAGCAGTTTTCCTGCAGTCTCATGAATTTGGAGAACACAAAACAAAAAAAAGCTCTAAAACATATTTTTTTTTTCATTGCAGAATGAAAAAAATGAGGCTACGAAGTGTATCTATCTCTCTCTATTTTTTTCCACATGAGGCCCCTGATTTAATTAGTCGAGTCACCAGAGACTTTGAAAGAAGCTTTCTTCAAAACCCTTTTCCAGACTCTCAGGGATGGAAGTAAAAATAGATTTTAAATTGGTCTTGGGGAACTGCTGTTTACTTTAGAGGTAGATTAAAAAAAAAATCTACTAATGAACACTAACGATGGCCTTGTTCCAAGTCTTTGTCAACTCAGGCAGTCCCAATTACTGCACTTTCAATCCAGCAGCACAGGGCAGCACAATCCCGGGGTCATTCCACAACCACTGATGGAGGGACTCCACGTTCACATGGGCACAATTATCACAGCGTGGTGCACTGCTGGGACATGATCAGAAGTCCCTTCCTGGTTCCAGCAGCAGTAGCAGAATGGGAGATCATAGTCTTTTCTCTGGACGCTTGCAGAAGACAAGGGCCAGGCAGACCTGCAGGTGCTGCACACTGCTGTTTGGGGGAAGTAAAACAACTTTCTCCATTGGTGACAGCTCTGTTTGAATCATACAATCACAGAATGGTTTGGCGTGGAAGGGACCTTTAAAAGTCATCTAGTCCATCCCCCTGCAGTGAGCAAGGACAATGGGGGCAATCGTCTTCTAGATGACTATTGCTTTCTGTAGCCTATTCTGTTGGCCTATTACACCTTGCATGCTCTACAGCATAACACAGAACCAGAGATAATACAGATGAGAGGTTGGATTTCTTCTCATCTGTTCTCAGGGTGGCCCAAGACTGCTGGCTGTATGGATAAATTTGCTTTAGGGACCATCTGAATCAGGTGGCGGTTGCTTCTGATGATACATAAAAGAGTTCGTCTGAGCACATTTGCTCCTGTAAGCCTGCTGTGTTGGCAAGGCACACGGGCCGAGCGGGCTGGAGGTGTGGCAGCAGTGAAGAGGAGAAGCCAAGCAGTCAGGCTCGTGGCTCTCCTGTGCTCCCCTGCCTTGCAGCACAGCCCCCAGGTCCAAATCCTTGGGTTGCTGCCCTTGCTGCACAGCCATTGCTGAACACAGCTGGGGCTCAGTATCACCTTTCAGGCCAAATAAGTAACTGCTGTCTCCTCTTGCAAGTCTTCACTTGTTTTGTAAAGAAAATCCTGCCAGCTGGTTAAAAGAGTGTTTACCCTGCTGTATTCAGCAGTGGTGCAGCCTCACCTTGAGCACTGGGACTCAGAGGTGAAGCAGGATGTGAAGGGCCTCGACTTGGTCTGGAGGAGGGCAACAGAGCTGGTGACAGGCAGGAAGGATTGTCCTCTGAGAAACTGCTGAGGACCCCGGCTTTGTCTAGTTTGGAGAAAAGGAGGCTGAGGGGTGACCTCATTGCTACCTACAGTGTCAGGGGACGTTCAGACTGGACATTAGGAAGCATTTTTACCAACTAGGCATAAGAAGGAAATTTTTTTACCATGAGGGTGGTGAAACACTGGCACAGGCTGCCCGGAGAGGTGGTAGATGCCCCATCCCTGGAGACATTCAAGGTCAGGTTGGACGGGGCTCTGAGCAACCTGATCTAGTTGAAGATGTCCCTGCCCATGGCAGGGGGGTTGGACCAGATGAGCTTTGAATGTC